TTCAGGGATGAGGGATGCAGCAAATTCAAGTTGTTCCTGGATCCCGGTGTGGATGTATTCCCCGGGCGGAACCTTCTTCACATCTAGTTTACGTACATAAGTTCCCATAATAGTTCTACCGTCCACAGGGAGATTGTAGAAGCACACAGGATGGGTTTGTTTAAGACCTTTTGCCAATTTTGACAAAGCCACAAGTGCAGTAGAGTTCTCCGCCGACCATTCTCTGAGAAACTTAATCACTTCAGCTAATTGTGGGTCTGGCTCCATAAATGATGGTGACTCTTGATTTTCCTAGTAATTAACAAATTCGCCTGAATCATCATCGTCACTGACAGCTCCTTGTCCTACTCCGGACACGGAAGGAGAAGAATTATCACTTACATTTTCACTCGACAAATAATTAAAAAATTGGTCTATTTCATCATCATCACCATCTCTTAGATCCACTTCACCTTCATCAGATGATAGTAAAACGTCAGAGATGTCAACAATTTCACGCTGAGAATCGTCAAAATCACCCACATCACTCGGCAAAGGATCAATGATGCAATAACTTTGAAAACCCTCTTCTTGTGCCATAGTAGAAGCATCCGGCTCATTAACATCACTTCCCTGATCAGCGAAGAAGCTGACCTCAATGTTTGACACCGGAAAAGAAACATCGACTAAGGATTCCTTGTTATCCGTTATCCCGCTATTGTAGGGGCTGCTATGGTGTGGCGGAGAAAAGGGCTCATTAATCGAAGCGTCAGAAGAGGAGCGTAATGCGGGTTCATCGTCTTCCCCAGCTGTATGTTGTTGCGGACAAAAGGGCTCATCAATTAAAGAGTCAGAAGAAGAACTTAGTGCGGGTTCATCGTCTCCCCCAGCTTTATGTCGCTTGTAATACCTTCCCGTCCTTGATCTTGGCTCCTTGGCCTGACGTTTGCGTTCTCGTCGTGAATGGCCCTGAAATGACAATGCCCATAAAAAATCGACAGACAAATGTATGTACACCCTCACTCCGTCTAGATTAAAAGTGCTATCAGTAATATCAACTGCTTTTTTTTCATGCCACTAAACAAGGTCATTTCATGGGATATCATCCAAAATTGTGGAGACTGGTTGCTTGACCCACTCGAAAACCTTTCAAATTTTTTTACACATCCTTGCACACCAACTAACCACATAAGAATGGCTGACGAAAAGTTTTCAAATTTTTTCGAAGTTGACAGCGAAGACTCGAATTGGCATTTTCAGGAAAAACTGAGTTTTAAATGATTGGGATTACTCCAGAAGCCGACCAAAAATTGGCAAACCAAATCCTGACAAACCATAAAATTGAGGCATGAAAGTTGATGGATCCAATGAATATTAGCAAAGGATCCATCGTCTAATTTGAATTGGCCGCTACATTGATTGATGACGGCCAAACTCATCAAAGGTTGGCGAACGCTATATGATGAATTCAGCAGGCAGCGGAAAACCTAGACTGAATCCCTGCAGAACCATATCCTCTATCCTCGCAGCTTGCCATTTAAGTACAAGAAAATCACAGGTCAAATATTGCCTTATATTGTTGATGAAATCGATTTGGATGAAAAGATAGTGTAGGGGGCTAACTTAGCAGGGTTTTCTGTACCCAAAAACAGGAAGTTCCAGGGTATTTCAACAAATAGTTACAATTTAGAGAAGTGTGAATTTTCACATGCACGGCTCAGAGGCGGAACGCGGCGGGAACGGAGATCGAGGTTAGCTTTATTTGGGTTCCCACTCTCCTCCAACCCAAGGTAACTGCTCCATGCGCATTACACCTCTTTTATAGTAGCCATTCTAGATGTTAAGTTAGTTGTGCTAGACCAGGAGCATCGTAAGTTTGGAGTAATGTCACAAGCTGATGGCCACCTTATTGCTGAAGTTTGACGTTTGCACTCCTGACAAAATTGGATAATTTGGCATACTTCTGACATTTGTCCCGACATACGATGCACGAGGTCCACCTCTTATACAGCTGAACATACAGGTTTCGTCAAATCAGTTAGTAATTGTTCACTGTCCGATAACTGACAGCTGCGCCGCTGCCAAGAACGACTGACCGAAGGTGCCATGACACCATGCTCAAATACTAGATTTCGTTGACAGTCAGGAGTGAACAGCTGCCAACTTGATGGATGAGACCTGCAGCTACAATGAAATACACCTAAATTTTGCCGTATTCGAATGCCAATTACAGAATTATTTCAACAGGCCTCCTGTTGCGTAGCTGGAAAGGACGAAATGACCAAAATAGGCCACAACTTAGTCTGAGGCGATACAGATTCCTACTCTCCGGGGAAATGTGATACTTGAGGATAATAGGCTATCCTCAACCTGGCAAATCAATTAAATGAAGGTTTACTCTTTTTCGTCGAGCAATAGTCAGAATTGAGTTGGATAAACTTGGGGCCTATTTGACACATTCCGGAGATCTCTCCGAGGCATTCAGTGATCTCACATGTGGATGGGCCTGCAGAGGGGATAATTTTATGATTTAAAGAAAGACCAAATACACTTACACTCATTTTGCGCTTTCGTTCACATATACATGGACATATAATATGGTTCACTAGGCACTTTAAAATTAATACCAAATTCGCACGAAACACACGCGAAGATACGAGACACGAGGCACGAGCATGGACCAAGAGAATAAATAGACTACGTTAGTCTCTTTATTCTATGGCAACGCGGGTGATAGGAAGAATAATCATCCAACAGTTCACGGACCACCATTCAGCATTCAGCATCCAAACATAAATATAACCTCTCAGCTAGTGTGTAGCGCCGCTTTAAAGGAAGAAATTAAAGTTCAAAATCGTGTGTCCTTATCGGCAGAAATGGAACTTATTTTTCTGGTGAAAGAAGTAATTTTTGTGTCACATGCGCGGGTCAACCGTTCCCGTTACTCCTATCTACTTGAAGCGCGGTATTCTTTATTCTTGGAATGTATACCTACTAAAGTTCACTGGAGCTGGTATGTACTGTTTTTCTCTATTTCTCACCATGTTCTTTACCTGTCTCCTTGCAGATGGTCTAATTTGTTTCATCGTCCAAAAACGTAAGGGAAATGGCATCATTTCATTTAAGATCACATTAATCTAGAGACCTAAGGAGCCCTGTAGAGGTGAGCTTTTCGGGTCGGTCTTGTAATGAAGTTATTTCATGCCGAACACTCTGCATTGCTCATTTCCATTTGAATGAACTGATGACTTCTATATTTTTGCAGCAAATTCATAGACTTTCGTCTTATTAGCTTGAAAGACCATTAAGGAATTGACTTTTAGTTAGAGGTGTTGTCAGCTAAGTTGACGGTTGTTTACTTTCGGTTTGCAGGCGTTTTCGCGTCACTACTATCCACATGAAAACATGTGACTCTCTCAGAAGCAAGAACACAAGCTTAGATAAGTTTTTTAATACTTTCAAACCTTGTAATACTTTAATTTTTAGCCACACAGAAATCACAACCACAAAAAAGTTGCAAATCATAACTGATAAGTAGATTTTTTACGATACGATCATGAGACTGATGTTTTCAGTGTGGATAGTAGCGAACGCCGCTTTGTTCAGAGGCCCAAATTCGTCGTTGGTGCTTGCTAACCGAAAGTAAACAACCGTCAACTTAGCTGACGACACCTCTAGTAGGTACTCGATCAGAGCAGATAAGGTACATAATCAACGCCCGTTTTAGATGAGTTGTCACATGTTATATAGATCAGCAGAGTAAAAATGGAATTCTTCAGATGCATCCACTGAAAACAAGCACAGTTTGTCCATATACTTGTAAAAAATGAACTGTGAGTATCATAAATATATCATTAACAGAAATATCACTCATGCAACAAGTTGATAGATGCATGTGCCCGTCGTAGGCACTTTAGGTGTCATAGGATGAGTATTTAGGGGGGTTTAGCGGGGTCGTCCACCTACCCGACCCTCAAACTTTTTTTTTCTGTTAAGAAAAATACAGTTTAGACGACATATTCTGAAAGGCGCGAAGAGGAGATTTTCGAATGCCTCTTGTGCTTTTTTAGTGGAAGGAACCGTTTAACTTTAGTGGGAGGAACCGAACTTAACCGTCCTATACTTTATGTATAAACTTCTTGCATAACGATTAAATCAAGTAAATATGAAGTAAATAATTGAAAGATGATACAACTTTTTATAAGTGGCTTAAATTTCCTCATGTAAAGAAAAATAATCCGATACTTAAACTCAGCGAGAAGACTCCACTTAACCGTAATATTATTCGTTTTGTACGCTACGTACATAACGATTACATGAAATAAAATTAGAGAAGTTATGCCGTAAACTGTTATTATTTCATATAAATTTATTGATTTTTTTTAATAACGAAAAATCATCTAACACGTACTTACTTAGCCGCCGTGTCTGAACAGCATGTACCCTTTAAATACGTTTTATGCGATTCGCACATAACGATTATATGAAATAAAATTAAAGAAGTTATACCGTAAATTGTTATTATTTTATATAAACCTCTTCATTTTTTTATATAACGAAAAATCATCTAACACTTAGCCGCCGTGTCTGAACAGCATTTACCCTTTAAATACGTTTTATACGATTCGCACGTAACGATTATATAAAATGAAATTAAAGAAGTTAGACTGTAAATTGTTATTATTTTATATTAATTTCCTCATTATTTTTATATAACAAAAAATCATCTAACACTTAGCCGCCGTGTCTGAAACACTTTTACCCTTTATATACGTTTTATACGCGGCGTATATAATGTTTATATAAAAAAAAAATTATTCGATTCGATTTCATTATAAAAACTGTAATTTTTTTTTATGTAAGTTTCATTTATTCCTTATATAAAAGCTTGTTCCAAATCTTGAATTTTTTTTTTTATATAACCCGTATACATTTTTTATATAAAATTACCGCTTATATAACACGAATCTTTTTTTTATATTTTTCGTAGAGAAACAAAAATCGTCTTTGCTACTAGGGACGACAGCTACTCCCTTGTAACTGCAACGACTTAGAGTGGAGGCACCAAAAATGACCATCAGCAATTGCCTTACATGGAGTGAGTCTCCAGATTTGCCCTTTCTCACGCCTCCCAATGCTACATCTGCTTTGCGGGGAGTCAATGTGAAGCTCATCTACAGAACAGAGAAAGAAAAACATTTTAAGAAAGTGAATGAGTGATGAAAACCTAGCGCAATTCTATTTGGACTGAGTTAAGCAGAAAGGAACCAACCCACATTTTGGAAAAAATTGAGTTATGAGTGGTTTTGAACTCAACCACTGCCCTACTATCTATTGCCAAAAATTCAAAGTTTTTGTTGGAGCGAATTTTGCAGAAATTGAACTTGAAGTTTATCTTTTACATTGAGTCTTATGCAGGAGCCAAAGTTTAAGCCTTTTTTTCTCGGTTCGATCCCGATGTGGCTTGGTTCCTTTCTGTTTAACTCCGTCCATTTATTCATTCTTTGATTTTCTAATTTTTTTAGCTTGGTAAATTACAGAGATAAAACTAGCATTTGCTTGACCTGTAAACAGGCAGTGAACAATTCTTGCTCATTTTTTTCAAAACGCTTTTTTAGATAAAAATGCAAAAAGCTGTAGGTCAGTTGTGCAAAGAGTATCATGATTAAAAGTACTCACTTCTTCTTCGGATTGACATTCTTCATCCTCAGTATCCTTATCTTTGTCAGACAGCTGGATGGGGCTACGATTTCCTTCAAAATCAGGTTCTCCGTTCCCATCATTCTCTTCGTGTTCGTTGGCACTGATCTTTTCTTCAGGATTCTGTTTTTCATTGAAATCATTCTCCTTATCCTCACAATTCGCAGAGCCTGCATAATCTTGAACTAGCAGATCTTTGCCTACATCCCTCTCCTAAAATCAAAGAAAAGAGCATAAAAAATGACATTTAGAGTAATTTAAAAACTCAATTTATCGCGCAGTTATAAGAGTTGATGGCTATTATGTGAAACTAAGTAAATCGATAACAGCATCACAAAAATCTCCACTCTCATTTCTTTTAATTAAAAGAAAATAATTCAAAGATAGCTTGAAATTTTCACAAAATATTCTTTAAGAAGGAAAGAAAAAGCATGAAGTTTCAAAAAATACCTATCATAGTAAAGTTATTTTGTAAAAATTTAATGTGTGACGAGAAATTTCCAACAACACAATTAGAGTTGCGTGTTTTTTGTGTTCAACCATCGGTATCCTTATGAACAATGGACCAAGGATCAATGTTTGTAGATTGCACAAAAGTGTGGATAGCCCTTGGTTTATTTATTTTTAAAGAAAATAAACAAACAAAAGTCCTGACTTCGGTTTTTCTTTAAAAAAAATCTCACTTTTTTTTTTTTTTTTAAAAAAAAAGAATCACAATTTTTTTGATTAAAATCTCAGAAACAGTCATCAATTCTTGCAAAATGCGGCAAATAGTATTCTTCCTGCAGATTGCGCAAAATGTAAAAGGTTTGAAGCTTAGTTGACCCCTGCAATAAACTGGATAAAGCTTTCGGTTACGTATTCAGATGAGACTTGTTACTCATTTGACAGGAATTCAGGATTTTTGAGTATCGGAAAAGGAAGGTTAATAAGACTAATTTAGGAAGTATAGAACAGTGAAGATTTGTAAAAAATTGATCCTAACCTGGCGATTATGTTTGTCACTTAAGCTGACAGACTTCTCTTTAACTTCACGCTTGTGTTTGTCACTTGAGCTGACTGACTTCTCTTTGACTTCACGCTTGTGTTTGTCACTTGAGCTGACGGACTTCTCTTTGACTTCACGCTTGTGTTTGTCACTTGAGCTGACATACTTCTCTTTGACTTCACGCTTGTGTTTGTCACTTGAGCTGACGGATTTCTCTTTGACTTCACGCTTGTGTTTGTCACTTAAGCTGACAGACTTCTCGTTGATTTCACGCTTTTCCTGTAGGGGAAACGAATAGTGCTGCTGTCACAAAATGTTAGCGAGTATTTGATTTTTTCAAAAGAGACAAGTTCTACAAGTATAAGTGATTTTTCTCTTCATTTGCGAGACAAATTATAGAGATTTTCATGTCCTGCTCCTTAGAAAGAATAAATTGCTTGCAAAGATTTCAAAACAACGCGATCAAGTCACTCCAACTTATGCCATTCAACTAATTTTTAGTTGAAACGCACTGATTCATAAAATGGTTGTGGCCAGACTTGCTTTTCATCTATACCTAATATTAAAAAAATTTGTCTTTCTTTTCCTCCTTTTTCCCATTTCATCTTATCTGTAGAATAACTTTAATCTAAAATCTCTTAAATCTCTTTAATTTCTCTCTATCTTTGGTGCCCCTGCATCTAATATTTTGAGGGATCAGAAAATTAGTTTCCTTTAACCTGAGGTTACTGCCTAAACTTCGTATATGCATCTCAATTTGTTTAAAAATTTTACAGCCGAAATGCAGGACTTAGGAATCATCCTGTAAAATAAATAAATTGGATAAAGTCTAAGTACTGTATTATTATTCTGTACACAAATTTTTTCAGCTTCACACAGTCCATTCATACATACCCACATTGTGATCCCATCATTCTGAAGAAAAAGATTTATCATGAATCGATCATCCATACCTGCATAGCGGGATCTGTTGCCGTCGAGGTTGCGGCCGGGGCCTTTTCTGGCTGGGCTGGCTGGGCCATTGGAGCCGCTTCAATGACAGGTGGTACCGGTGCAGTGGGGAGGGCCATGGGAATGCTCCATAGTTATAATAAGCCCACGGAGGTGGAGGGGTGAAATATGCTGGTGGAACTTTGGTGTCAGGCGTCGGTGCAGGCGGGGGGTCTGCTGGCATAATTTGTCTCCTTCTCAGTCTTTCCTCCAATTGGAAGATCACACTCTCATCTGGAACATCATTTACTGAAACGAAAAACAAAAAATGAACAATGGAGAGCCTTCATATATTAAATTATATGCCACATTTTACAGCGCTTTTGACTCCCCCTCTCTTCTAACGCAACCCTGCTCCCTTAATAATTGCCTAACGCTTGCTGGACTCCCCTTCGGACCCCAAATATTGTAAGAAACAGTGCCATATAGATGGGTAAAAGTTGAAATATTTTTCATGATAGTCTGACAAATAATATCGAATAAATGAGCATGATATACTTCCATTTTATGGATTAGTGTCGTTTAGCATATATAAAGAAGCAGATAATGCTATGAAAACGTAAAGCAAAATTGATAAATTTACGAGAAATCAAGAGACAGTAGGCAAATCATCTGTGATGTTGTAAAAAACCTCAAGAGCAATAATTAACCTACATAAAAGGCCCTAAGTGAACAAAATGAAAATGAAAGAAAAAATGCAAAAATCAATCTTTCAAATATGTAGCTATGGAAGAAGTACTGTGAAAATTGAAAAAAAAGGTGAAAAAATTTAAAGATTTTCGATTTTTGCTTAATCAATAGAGACTTTCACTTAAATATGTGACGTAAAATGTGGCACTGACCTCCTTTCTCCCTTGTAATGCAGGCTCATACCCCCTCTATTCGCCTGATCATTACGTAATTTATGAACGCTTCCTCATGACCAAACACTATAGTTTAAAATTTATTTCAGGGAACCCTGTTTTAATCCCAAACCATTTGAAACAACAATGTTTCACTCTCATATCTATACGACTACACTTTCCAATGAGGAACTACTATTTCTGCCTCATTTTTATCAAAAACCGTACTATACATACCGTATGCAGTTCCGTACTTCTGTGAAAGAGCAAAAATTATTAGTCCCTTATTATTGCAAGGTGAAGTTGGATTTGTTGTATGAAGGCCATTCCATCAGGCCACTTACCACTAGGCTGGCTATAAAAATAATAACTTTTTGCCAAATAGCTAAATTCAGTCACTTTTAAACTGGCACAGAATCGCAACTGTCTTTCGTTCATCATTGAAACTAAATCCAAGGAGCAACATGACAAAGCTCCTATCCCTCTCTAAAGGTCCAAACACTGATTTGACCTTAATTAACACTATTCGCCGACAATTTACGAAGTTGCAGATAAATTTCCTCATCAAAACCTCACATTTTTAACAAATCAGAAACTTCCAAATTTAACTGTTGAATGAGAAATTATAAAGTTTGTACCCTACAATGTTAGAACGAATGAAGATACCTGCATCTTCTAGAATGAGTTCACTCTGAATTTATAAAAAATTCATCCATCATTAAAGGTAATTGATTTACTTCAGTATACTTGTGTTCGCTTAAATTTCAGATCCTACTTCAATTTTTCAAGTACTGCAGCACATTCATTAGCAAATGAATATGAGACCTCTATCCATGGACGGAAGGAGAGGAGAGAAGAAGAGCTGAATTCGTGCGGCTCGTGTATGAAAAGGTTCAAGCGAGTCACGCTTGTTGCGGAGCTCATAATTGAAGGGGAAAAAATTTCAGTTGACATCCTCGACCGATTTTGTGATTTCAAGTTCATTCGAGGGATTTATCTCAAAATCGGTTTTTTGTGTTTTTGGCAAGGGATTTATTTTTCATTTTATTTTTTTCCTTTCGAGTAAGTTTTTGGACATTATTGATAGATTATTCTTAGTGGACTTTGGGAATTCATCAAAGGTTTTTGCCTATATTATACTTAATTAATACGTCAATTTCCTCGACCGGATTTTTTGCCCGAAAAATGTTTTTGAGGGTTTTTGTAGTTTATCAAAACAAAACAAACGACGAGTTGCCGCTGCCAATGCGCGCGCACCCTGCAGTGGGCATGTACTGCAGAAACGGCACTATATTGCTGTACCAGTGCCCTTTCTGCTCTACGTGAGAAACATAACCCCTGTCAAAAACACATAAAAAATGCGAATATAGTGCCCTGTCTGCACTACAGGGTGTGTCTACATACACTAATGCGAAAACCGCAAAAAACTCAATTTCGAAAAAAATGTCGATTGTGCCCTTTCTGTAATAGCAGCTGATTCAATTGTGAGGCGTCTCAAAAGAAAAAAAAAAAAAAAAAAAAAAAAAAAAAAAAAAAAAAAAAAAAAAAAAAAAAAAAAAAAAAAAAAAAAAAAAAAAAAAAATGCGCTGGGGGTCGAAGATGAAGGCCCGCATACCACGAGGAAAAATGATTCGGTCAATCTGTTGCGTAGCGAAGCAAAATTCTCAGGCAGTCGACGCGAAATCTCAAGAAACTTTACTCTGCTCTAATGCGTCAATACTCTACGCAATCAAATCAATATAATGAAAAAATGTTCATCGCCTGTATGCAAGCTCCTTGTTGCACAGTTAAATCGGTTGCCGTTTGAGAATTTGAATTTTTCACATCATCCAGATATTTTACCAGCATTCGCCTGCCTTCATGCCTTGCTTTATCGTGCAAGAGAGTCCAGCGCCATCGGACCAATACATCCACATGTACATCCGTCTCTCTCAGAGCCACCAACCCGTCGATCGCACTCTATTCTGTTTCTACAATCGACATATCTTGAAATCCGTTCCGCAAGCTGGAGTGAAGAACGTTTGCTTGGTCAGAAGTCTCATTTCTGTTTGTACTCAAATTCTTGCGAAGCAATGAGTTACAATTGCTGAACGATGGTACCGTCAAACCGGACAAATTCACTGCGATACAGATATTGTGACACGGAGCCGAGACTGTGGCTTTTCTTGGTCAAGACAAGGAAAATATCATCGAACAAGTTTATCTCAGAATTTGTCAGAAATGTTCATTACCAACTAGGAAGGAGAATAAGAAGACCAACGATACGAAGGAATGTACATTTTGATCAAAATTCGGACAGGAAACATTGTCACGACTCGTAAATCAAAGCTTCCAACGGCGAAGACTTTAGGATGTAATGGCTGAGTATTTTTTCCTAATATAAGGTTTTAGGGCTTAATGAAATAAACAAATTTGTAAAAAGCTTGCGCACCGTATATTATAGCACGGAAGTCATTTTCTAAAGCCGCGGCGGCAATTGCTTATCTATCAAATGGCTTTCCGAGCCAACTTACGATGCGCAAGCTTTATTTTGTGAAATTGTAGTACTGTAGTTGAAGAAAGAAAGAAAAGAAAGAAAGTTTTCGTATTCAGATACGCGTTTTTATGGATGAGAAAGAAATAATAACTCTGCTATATTGGCTATTGAAGTTGAACTTTCCGTTCTCAACGAAATTTGAATCTTTACGAACATCATTGAATTCAGCAGTTTTGTTGAATCGCACTTACAGTGTCATATTCTATTCTAGGAGGATAAAGAGACTTCAGTGTACAAAACTTCAACACTCAAAAATTTGTTTTCCTCCCATGTTGTTTCCCCTGTAGGTAACCTGTAAAGTTAGGTACCTGTACCTAACTTTTCCGTTAAAGATTTCATCAACTATTTGTCCCTCTCGTGAATTAAAAGTAATCAAGTTCATAGTCTCCTTTTGACGATTTTACTTTGAAGACAAAGCAGTTTTCAGATTAAAAATTTACTCAACACATTATTTGTGTTCTGAAATAAGATTTGCGAAAGCATGACAATTACCAATGAAACGGTCAAGCAGAGATATCGCCAATCAATTCTTACAGAGTTCTAAATGCTGCAAAAATTCATTAATCAGGTTTAGCAGTATTCTTTCGGGGGGAGGGGGGGGGGTTGGCGACAATTTCAGATTTTCATAATGTTTATCGCCAAATCCTCTGGTATTAAGTAAATTTTCAGTATTTTAGGACTATTCATTTTATTAATTTAAAGTTTTTCATCGTGTTTCGCAATTAATTATTACACTGAAAAAGTAGTTAAATTTTTCCGTATGCCCTACTTGCCAAAATTCGAAGTCTACGTTGGCAACTGTTCTCTCGGTGCATAAAGCATTTTGCCTGAATGAAGTTGAATAATTTCTTTTCTTTTCTTTCTCTCGTCAAACGATTTCAAGCCCTTGCGTAGTAAATTACGTGTAAAAGTTGAAGTTAAATCCACACTCTGTGTTGTATCTCACTTGCAGATTTTTAAGTAATTAAGCAGTTTTTACATTAAAATCGAATCAAATGCTCAATAGCTGTAAGGGTTTCCCAAGGGAATTAGTCGAAGATTTTTAAAAAATTGTGCAGGTTTTACATTAAAATCAAATCGAATGCTCAAATGCTGTAAGAGTTTCCCAAGGGAATTTATCGACACTTACTGGATGTGTTGTTTTTCTTTAATGCGTGAGTTTCGCTCAACAGCCGTGAGGTCACATGACATACAAAGCCTTAGGATTAAATAGAAATGAACGCTCCAATAAGACTCGGTTTATACCAGGATAGAACAATTAAATCAACGAACGAGTGTAACAACTTACTCTGACCAAACTCTCCCATTTTACGCGTGTATTTACTTCATGCGTTACTATCATTTCCTTCTCGGTAGCTACTATAATCGAACTGTCACACAATCGGGCCGAATTTGTTTCGTCTTCCGATACAACGGTTGTTCAAAACTTACAAAACCTGCCGTCGTCTCAAATCATGACACATCTTCTTCAACGATCAAAGTAAATGAACACTATTTTGCAGCGGCCTGGCCTACTTTGCGATGAGTTAGTGGATCTATCTCTCATTTAAGCCTATGGAAAAGGACCGAAAGACAATTCGCAACAAACACCGTAATAATCGATTCCCTAACCATTGTATTAAAAGAGGAAATATGGATCATTCATGCCTTGCCATTGGTATTTCGTAATTATTTGGAGTTGTATCGGTGAACGCTACACACGGGACACAGATTTTCTCTAAAGAGAAAAATTGACTGGTCTCCTACTCTTGCGATACGCTATAACAAGTCTGCAAATGCCGGTAAAATTACGTGGAAATTTTGGGTGAAAATTGTTAAAATTGTAAATAATAGTTTTACCTTACTGTAATTTGCAAGCGTAACACTTATATAGCCCCTGTTATAATGTTTTTTTTAAAATGCTCATACAGGATTATGGTTGAAATCAACGAATGGACTACTAGACAAGGTACGAGTTAAATGATTCTGATACATGTTTCTTAATCAGAATTTTACGTAAAACACGACTCGCGCAACGAAAATTACTGAAACCAACTCCTAACGACACAATGGTCTCACATTGGTTACGAGGAATTTGAACTGCCCGCTCACAAGAAACTCAAAGCTTTTACGTAAGTCAAATTGAGCAACAAAGCGGTTTCGGCAATCTTCTCTATCGAGCAATGTTCATTTCCCACCATGTGTCGTTTAAACTATAAGCAATTTGCTGTAGCTGAACCAAAGCGTCAAGTTTGAGGTTGCCAGATTTTTATATCGCAGCGACTGTCATGATAAACGTTTAGCGCGCGACGTGAATCACGTACCTAGAGCATTGAGTTTTCATAAGCGGGTGGTTTGAATTCACGCATCAAGAATCATTAAATATCTTTGTAAGGCGTTGATTTCGGCAATTTTCGTTGTGCGTATCGTGTTCTAAGTGAAATTTTGGTTTAGCAACGTGTATCAGAATGCTGAAATTCGTATCTTGTCTAGTAGTCCATTGCGTTGCAGATGGTTTTTTCCTAGATCCTGGAAACTTAATTGGTCGGACGCAAACATGTTTCCAGGCGTTATTCAATGTAAGCCACCCATAGCGTGAAAAGTTTTCATGCTATTTAATAGTTCATGCTCACGCTTTGACCATGAGTTGCGATAACGAATTTTCGACAATTTTTAAGGAACGGACGGAATGTTGCTGATATTTTTAATATTGTCGCTTCCCTTTATTTTGCGTTTATAACGAGCGGCGCGAATTTTTGCCTAGAAAAACTACACCTGCCATTGATGAAGGAGATAGGAAGACTCTTGGTCTCGCTGTGGTGATGACTCTGTGTGCACTGGTCTTGGACTTTTTATTCCTTTTATTCGTATTCTCTTGCCTTTTATTATTTTCAATCGATTATTGTAAAACAGAGGCCCAGACACTTAACTTTTTAAATGAAATAACCTTTTCCAACGGAAAACAATTTTTTCACCAATTTTTCTTGTTTTTTCCGTTATGTTCTGATTAATGAGGGGAGGTGTCATCGAGTGCTTTAGAGCGGGAAAGAGCAGGTCCAAAAGGTTACCAAAATTTGCAACTTAATACGGATGATCACCCTCTTTGCCTCCCATGGGTCGCCTGTATTTTGCCGTTACTTCTCATTCGTTTTGAAACATCGATACAAACCATTAAGTGAGCGTGCCGGCGGAGGTGGGGTGCATCAGACGCGTTTACTCGTGTTGGGCACATTTTTTGTGAAAGCCCTGTCAACACTAGCAAAAGTTCACGGAACTTCGCGCGAAAATTATGTTCCGTAAACCTATCTCTGTGTGGACGAGGCCTTTCATTTATAAGAAAAGAACGAAAAAATTATGAAAGAATAAACATGAATGTGGTTTAATGATTTTAATTTTCGCCACCGCGCCAACCGCACTGTTTAGCGCAATGCATGGAGTATCCCTACCCTTACAGTCTTGTAGGCGCTATACGATTCACGCTGACCGCACTACGTTTGACGCAATGCGTGAAGTATTCATGCAGTCTTGTAGGCCCTATGAGTTTTACGCCAACCGCTGCTGACCGCAATTCGTTTAACGCAATGCGTGAAGCATTCATTGAGTCTTGTAGGTGTTAATATGTGTTTCATGCTGACTGGCGCGCTGAGGGCTTGCTGAATCAGATCTTTTTCTTGATACCTACAGTTAAAAGAATGGACCACTAGATAAGGTACGAATTTCAGCATTCTGATTAAATGTTTCTTAACCAAAATTTTACGTAAAACACGATGCACACAACGAAAATTACCGGAATTAACTTCTTACGAAGATATTTAATGATTCTTAATGCGTGAATTCAAACCACCCGCTCATGAAAACACAATGCTCTACGTGATTCACATCGCGCGCTAAACGTTATCATGACAGTCTCTGCGATATAAAAATCTGGCAACCTTAATCTTGACGCTTTGGCTCAGTTATAGCAAATTGCTAATAGTTTGAACAACACATGATGGGAAATGAACATTGCTCGATTGAGAAGTTTGCTGAAACCGTTGTAGTGGGCGATTTGACTCACGTAGAGTTTTGAGTTTCTTGTGAGCGGGCAGTTCAAATTCCTCGTAACCAATGTGAAATAAAAACGTTAATATCTTCGTTAGGAGTTGGTTTCAGTAATTTTCGTTGTGTGAATCGTTTTCCACGTGAAATTCTGGTTAAGAAACATGTATCAGATCGCTTAAATTCGTACCTTGTTTAGTGGTCCATTACCACATTTGCCGCCCCATGAATTTGCCGCCATGGGCCGCGGCCCATGTGGCCACTCTCCTTAATCCGGCCCTGTGGATGATAATGAAGAAACGAGACGGAGTGGTTAATTTCTTTACATTTGTTCATTTATTACCTTGCTTTGTACAATTCGGAATAAATTAATCTTATCTGGTACACAATAACTTACTTTACAAGAATAACATGAGGCCTCACGTTATCGGAACGCACCTACGATCCTTCTTGACTGAGCGATGCTGCCTTTGATTTGAGATCAAAGAATAAAAAACCATTCGAAACGCTGCCGTATCTATTGGATACAATGCTTTTTGGTTCGTCAGAATTTCAGCCTTTCTCTATTGCAGTCTCACCAGCCGTGGGGCAGCTCCTGTAGTTTCTCTCTCCGAAGATATGGGGATCTTTCTTTTCGTACTGCTTCTTTGGTCACAATTCGTCACAAGCTGGTTCATCCTCGCATTCCGAATGCGTCTTAAATAGTTCGTGTACTTGGAATCTTGTGTAAGATGGGTTACATCATGACATCTAAGGCTTGTTGGATCGCGCGTACGTACGCAGAAAATCAAATGTGTCATCACGAAATCGGGTTTTCGTGCTTGATTCTTGTAGGAAAGCTAAAAATAATAAGATCCGTCCAAACCGCAACTTTCGACATTCAATATTAACCCAGCCATGGTGTTTTGAAAAATTCGGCTCCTGGCGTCATCCACGGCGGTAGTGACACCCTTGGTCCCTTCCACCTTGCTTTCTCGAGTTTTAAGGTTGAGCGATCAGTGCCAATTTGTGTCTCACTGATAGATGAAAGTTCGGTGGAAAGAACCAAGGGTGTCACTACCGTCGTGGATGACGTCACACACCAAATTTTTCAGAACTCTGTATCTCAGTCAATATTAATTGCACGTAGAAAGTTGCCGTTTGAAAATATCGTGTTATTTTTAGCTGATCCACTAGAAGCATGCATCCAAACAAAATTCTGTGACCAGTGCAACTGATTCATTAGCACTTTTTTCTTTACGATTTCCGCGCGCATTGTTGCCCTCCAGACCTGTGAGTGTTAATTAATGCACGTGACCAGTAAAAAAACTGTTTCCATTAGAAATCAATTTTTCCACCTGTTTATTTACCAATGATTTAGACTGAGGGAGTGGCGGTTCAAAAGGCGGCCGCAATCTCTCACTCAATACTTGGATGTGATTGGCCAAGGGACGAGACGGATACGCTCCATGACGCGGCATACACTGGTCGCTAATATAAAAGAAAGCCGATACTAAAATCATGCGAGCGAGAAGAAAATACAGTTCACGAAACCTGAAAAATTAGTTCCATCTCAGAGCTTGCAGGTAACCCGCCCACCATTCAAGTTGCACCAATCAAAGTCAAGCCGATGTGACTTTGGAATCAGGTCGCGAACGAAGTCGCAGATATCCTAGAAAAAGAGTTTCTCAGAAACTCCTTTCCCTCCGAACGGTTTGCGATGAACCTCTCACCGGGAAAAACGTTAATTAATTTGACCATGGTTACGTTAAAGTAGACCAGCTGGTTCCGGACTGGAATTCATTCTGCGAAATAATTTTATCGACGAACATTTTTTTCCAGTTGGCCCAACCGAAGCGAAATTTCAGTTTAATCACGTGCAATAATTTGGCTGTGTCAGTTGCTGCTCTAGTTAACCAGATGCTGTGAACTTAAATCGGAACGGGCGAAAAGCAGGCTTCACTATATTAAAACATGTTTTATCGATAGTTGAACCCTGCGGACCTTTTCATTCCCCAACTTAACTCGAAAGTGCGAATTTAATGTATAGTGTGTGTCAACATTCTAATTTTTCGCTTGCCACAAGCTCTCTCAAACTTTCGGTACTCCACTATTACTATTTCCCTTGACGATTGAACCAACATCAGCGTCGGTGGATCAGGTACGTACAAAGTGCAGGTTTCTGACACTCAGCTCTCGTTATTTGCTGAGTTACAAGTGTCCCCCAACAACTGAGACCAAGTCAGTAATTTGAAAACTAGGAGAGATGTCGTAATGCGGTTTGTATGAAGTTCTTGCTCATATTATTAGCTATCAAATCTCAAAATTTGATCTTATTCGGTTGAAAACTCACCGAGTTATAGCAATTTTTCGGGGACGAGTTGAAAATAACCCTACAGGATTCTCGAGGAATTTTTCATTTGGCGAACTGCTGATGAGCCGCGCTGCAGATCGTGACGCTATGGATCATGTGAACACTGCTCTGGATGAGGGTTTTAACGTGTTAACATCTGTTTTCCTCACAATCGAGAAATTTGTCCGCTGTCACGGTGCTGATGTTGGCCTCTGTCGCGGAAGTTGACGGCCGGCCGGCCGCCATGCGGAATCAAAGCTGCCGACTCTTGACCCTCGGAAAATGATCTATATCAGCGAAGAATGGCATTTTTGCCAAGTCGATTTAGTTCATGAGCAACTGTCGTCAGATTCAAAGTATCAGACCACGGCGAACGCAACATAGCAAATGCCGTAACGTTGTTCTTGTTTCAACCCGGTATGGGCGAGCTCATTGCGCTCACGAGAAAACACTTCGTTGCGCTTGACGGTTTCGGCTGCATTGAGTTTTCACGCGGACGAAATGTCTCGATTGCGATTAAAACACACGATAACAGGTTAAAACCTTAATCCAGAATAGTGCCCACACGATCCCTTCACATGATTCACAGCCTCGCGATCTACAGCGCGGCTCAGGAACAGTTGGCGAAATGTAAAATTACTGGAAAATCCTGTAGGGTCATTTTCAACTCGTCCCCGTCTGCCTTTTGTGTGGGGGCTAGTATCTACGTGACGCACGTCTAAATATGTTTTCCAACTCTATGGGACACCAAGGACGCTCGTGAATGATTGGCGGAGCCTAGGTTACTGCCGCCATATTGTTACGTTTCGAATCTTCTGCCCATACGCATAGAATAATGAATCTCAGCTTTTTCACCGCACATCGTGGATTTCGTGCCCAACCCAAAATCTCGGTGCCAGAGTTGCGCTCTTACTAATAATGTATTCAGTTTAAATTAAGATTAGAATTCTAGGCGATTCCTGAAATCCATCATCAGCATTGTAAGAACTGCCAATCCCCTTACCGTGTGATCTAATATCTGTGTGGCTCCTTCGAACTTTTCAACAGCGTCTTAACAAATTTTACGGCTGAACGCGCGGAACAAACGAAAGCGGAGATTCAGCAGTCAGGTGTCTCCTCAGCCAATTTTGACGCCAACTAAGATAAGTGGCAAGATCTAACATTTTCCAGGCAATATCTATGTAAATGTGTATGGTTAACAGATATTGACAGGTTGCATCCGAAGTATTGTCGACTCAGTTAATGTTCTTGATCGCGCTGCAATCAACTAGAAAATCATTTGAATCCATTTTATCTTCTGGTGTCAAATAGCTGATAAAATTTTTGCCCCTAAGAATGGCATTGCATTGGCCGCTCTGTAGCACTACAGGACAGTGTTCCTATTTTATTTTACCGAAAAATCCGCGGTTTCCAGCATTGATTCCGATTTCCAAAATTTCTGTGAATAAACCAGACTCTTTCATAAGTTCCGGGTAAAAGTTCCGAAATACGCCCGGATTTAGTTTCGAGGGTCGTTGAATCTCATCTAAAAATCATCACTTAACCGGTTGAGCCATCGAAATTCCGGGAGAAACTCCGGAAAATTTGTAAAGCTCCTTGGAACTAGTTCCGGGAAATGGGAGCACTGCTACGGAAGGACAAAAGTTCCGAAATACGCCCGGATTTAGTTCCAAAAGTCGTCGAATTCCATGAAAAAATCATCACTTAGTCGGTCGAACCAACGAAATTCCGGGAAATTTTTAAAGCTCTTGGGAACTAGGTGCGGAAAATGGGAGCACTGCTACGGGAGGACAAAAGTTCCGAAATACGCCCGGATTTAGTTCCGAAAGTCGTCGAATTCCATGAAAAAATCATCACTTAGTCGGTCGAACCAACGAAATTCCGGGAAATTTTTAAAGCTCCTCGGAACCAGTTGCTGAAAATGGGAGCACTGCTACGGGAGGATGTTGCCCGTTGGGCGAAGTTAACTGGAGACGGGAACTGGGCTGCGGAAGGTCCTCCGCTGTGGTTTCTGTTGGGGGGCTGCGGCGGCTTCGGTGGATTCCTCGGTGCCCTCCTCGTCGTCCTCGTCCTCGTACTCCTCCTCGGCGCTGCCGGGAGCCTCCGTGGCGTTGGCCGAGCCGAGGGAGAACCCAAGGAGGTTGCTGAACCACGCTATGCTCTGCTCCGCCGACTCGTTGGCCTGCTGCAGCAGGGCCGCCTGTCCGTCCGGCTTTTTCGTCGTCCCTGTCGGCGTCGGCCGGGTCGCTTCGCCCGGCTCCGAAGACCTGCGCAAAAGAATCGGATATTATAGTTACGGCAACGATGTACGATGCATGAAAATGTTGAAAAAATCGCATATTTAGTTACGGCAACGATGAATGAATGAAAATGCTGAATAAATCGGATATTTTAGCTACGGCAACGATGAATGTAAATGTTGAATAAATCGGATATTTTAGTCACGGCGAAGATCAGTGTTCGAAACTCACAGGCGCCAACGCGTCAAATGCACCGATGAAATTGGTCATGCGCCTAAGAAATGATGGCTCTGCGCCAACGTGGCCTCTATAAATTGCCCTCTCCCCCCACAAAAAAATTCCTAATTTTTCGTTTTTGTAACATTTTACAATTTTCCCCGAGGTACAGTTACTGATTCTGTGACTGAGACATCTTGCGTCTGAACTGGAAAAAAAAACACATTGGATCTTGAGTCCAGACTCTGAAAAACATCGACAAGAAAAAGTGATCTTGATTCAATCAGAATCTAGCCTAAGTCAAGAACCAAGCCTCTTAATTTAAGCGGATTTTGTTTTGATTCAATCAAATATCCGATTGAATCAAGCGAGTATTTTTTCTTGTCAATGTTTTCAAGAGTCTAGACTATAGATCCATTGTGTTTTTTTTTCCTGTGTAATTTTTCACTGAATGCGCTGTGATATACGAGTAAAGGGAAAAAGTCAATTTGGCTCCAAAAAATCGAGCTTGATGCGCCACATGGCTCCTAAAACTCAAAGGTATGAGTTACGAACACTGGCAACAATGGATGGAATTGTTGAAATACTCTGATATGTTTGCTACGGCAACGATGGATGAAAACGTACAAATTGACAAATTTCGTCAATATCAGCTTAAAGCTGACAACTTTTTTTGAAGTTCGAGGCGAAGATCCTTGCCCTACGACAAACCACTCACGAGATATGCCACTTTATAGTTTTAACTTTAACCCCCTCCCCTTCTCTCCTATTTATCCGATTTCAAGTTTAAAATTGATCAACTTCCTAAATATCAGCTAATGGCCGATAATTTTCTCTAAATTTTGAAACCAAAATCATTGTCCCCCGATAACCGTTCGGGTCTGCACTAACCATTCCTTGACCGAACTGTGATCCACGGGTCGTAAGGGAAGAAGGGGTCTGGTGTACCTTGTGCTTGTTTCGGGGTCTCTTTCGTAGAACTTCACATTGAATAGGAGACGAAATTGCTGGGTGCCTCTAGCATATACTCTCGTATCTACTTCGAATTTACCGTTTTCTGTATAAACATCCTTTTGGCTTCAGGCAACCATTCCCGAAATTGGTGTACCAGAAGTTTTACCTTTACTTTGGTCGAATAAAGCAGGCCGTCTACGGGCAGGTGGTATGACGCTTGGTGTTTGTTACTGGCTCAGGACCAACAGAACTCTTTCGGAATCGAGGGATGAACCTTTTTCATTCAGGAGAGTTTCGAAATTAACCCTCACGGATAAAAAAAAGTTTGACTCTGCAGGAATATTGGCTTGCCAAACTGAAGGTAGACGCAGGAGACACAAGCGCTCTCTCCATGAGATATCGTGTGGTCTAGTGTTGCAACCTCGTGCTCGCTGCAGTATAGCAAACGCACGGTCGCACCTGTTGAGGCCGCCATTTGGACTGCATTTTGCAGTTTGGAACTATAAATTCTGGCTCTTCTGGAAAAACGTTTATGTGCATAGAGAAACTAATGGCTCATACGTTGTTTTTAAACCGGGCTAGAATTTATAGTTCCAAATTGCAAAATGTAGTCCATTTCTCTTGTCAGTTGAGTGGAAAGTACGATCCACTGGAAAAAAAAAACCACATCGGATCTAGAGTCCAGACTCTTGAAAACATTGACAAGAAAAAATACTCTTGATTCAATCAGATTTGAGCTTAAATCAAAAGGAAATCCGCTCAAATTAAGAGGCTTGGTTCTTGATTCAAGCAAAAATCCGATCGAATCAAGAGTATTTTTTCTTGTCGATTCTTTTAAGAGTCTGGACTCTAGATCCAACGTGTTTTTTTCCCCTAGTGTGGACTCTAGATACAATGTGTTTTTTTTCCAGTGTCAACTCCGCGCGCGAGGTTTCATTTGGACATATTCCTATCAAACGGAACTGTGTGCATTATGACGTGAGCCCTGTTATGCACATATTCTTATGGGTCTCAGGGCTCATGTCTTAATGCGTATAGTTCCGTTTGATAGAAATACATCCATTTCTCAATTTTAATCGCTGTGAATTCACAATTCACATACCTGAGTATGTGTATAAACTATTACGAAAACTCCCCCTTGTTCTCTGAATAGGCATATTTTGGTGTGCTACTAAATAATATCAGTTGTTTCTCGGTTCCTCGCATCAAATACGTTTTGGAGGTTCAAAAGCCTCCAGACCACCATCAACGGAGTTGCTTCGGATGTGGCTTCCGACATCAGTGAAGTTCGGAAACTTGTAGTGCTACGGAAAATTTTCTGGTGCTAACAAAGACTCTTATTGTATCCGAGTTATTCTTCACCGATGTCTTTTCATAAACGCTGTTCATTACTGTCCCGCCGTGAACTGCAAACGATTGGATTTTTGTGCGTAGTGTGTTATTCCATACCTATAAGCCTCTAAAAGCTTCTCTATCATGGAGTTAAAGTTGTTGTGACACAAATTTAATCTGTCAGTGATACTTTGACTGAAATACGTAAAATCAAGATGGTTTCGGTGTCATTCACTCGAAACCAGTTAAGCAATGATCATCTGTTCCTCGTTGAAAGTCATTCTCACTGCTGCTGGTTGCCTTCCAATCTACCGCGGGCGGTAGGCCACGTAGCGAACGTATGTTAGCTGCACTAAGTAACATGTTAAATTTTTTTTCCACCGTAAGGTAGCTGCGAGAGAATACGACTTGCTCCCTGGTCTACCTTTTTTGTTTCCGTGCTGAGACATCGGAAAAATATTTCTTCACTCCCACCTGGTGGCGCCCATTCGATGTCGAGATATTTTTTAACCGGCCTCCGGTCCGGTACTTCATTACCCAATGACTTCATTTAATACGCCTCGTCAGTAACTTGCTATACCTATCTGCAAGTTAAGTAAATCCATTTGGTTAAAGGAATTGAAGACTAATATTGTTATGTCAACGGCATCCTGAAGATTCGTATCTCGCAGCAAGTCGGAATGGCGAATGCTAATTCGTTTCTCGTGTCAATTTTCCTACGCCGCGGAATGTAGTCCAGGTCAGGGAAAATATTCGCCTCACTGGACCACTTTAGTTCGTATGCTATGCCGTTAACTTTCGTTCGAATCTTGAGTCTATTTCCTTGCTTTCGATTATGCTTTCTGTTCCGGAATGCATCCTTCTAATCGCACGCTTGAGCTATCAATTTTGCGTTAGTAATTGGAGAGTGGGAAAAAATTACCTACACGAGCCGAATAATTACGAATCTTACCCCAAGTAATGTCTTTTCAAACCTTAAAGAGCTACAAACGAAAACATTAATAGCAAAGCGATAAATGACCAGAAGCTAAATGCACGGGTTGGGTATTTTTTTTTTTTTTTTTTTTTTTTTTTTGTAGTTCTTCCGGGAGAAAAAGTGGCGAATCTTCTCGAAGATATGACAATTTAAACTACTTGTTCCACCGGCTGTGGTAATCCAAAGTCGGGGATTTCGATTTCCGGGTTGGGTATTAAAACTCCTTCATTTGAGCCACATGCACACCTCGTGGCATGCGCGTGAATGATCGATTATTAAGGTGTTCGTTGCGAACACTCTGTTTGTCGATCCTCTTCATAAGTTTAAGGTGATTCGATGGACGCCATATTGTGTGTCAGAATGGCATGCGATATATCGCATCAATTGGATCCATTTTTTTCAGCTACTTGTCATTTTTCTCCAATTTTGAGATCGGAATTCTGTTGTTAGGAGATTAAAGCTCTCACTTCCCAATTTTAACGAAGAAATTCAACGTAATAAAGGCGTGGTTTTTTAGAAAGAAAATATCGTATTCGAGTGCAGTTTCGATATCAGTATCGAATGCGATGTTTTCTCTCTAATAAAAACCACGCCTTTATTACGTTGAATTTCTTCGTTAAAATTGGGAAGTGAGTGCTTTAGTCTCCTGGCAATAGAATTGCGATCTCAAAATTGGAGAAAAATGACGAGTAGCTGAAAAAATGGAACCAATTGAAGTGATATATCGCATGCCGTTTTGACACAAAGTACACTGTTAAAAAAAACGGAGTGAGACTCAGCACAAGCGCGAGTAAGAACGGGCCCTCACTTCGCCGGACCGAGGAGTCACTCCGACGGAGAATCGGCTGGACGGATTTTGGGTGCCGTACGCATAGAAATCACTCCGACGCCGGACGGATTCGCGGGAGCCGCAAATTTAGGGGTTCGCAGCTAGGGGATGGTGGAAAGGGGTTTATTATGGAAATAATTTTTGAAACCATGAAAAATAAAAATAATGAAACCATTAGTACGTGATTTAACCGATTTTGAAGGTTAGAATTGTTCTACCTACCTTGGGATTTGAACCCGGGACCTACCTAACACTAACCGACGACCCTACCGATTGAGCTATAGCGAACGATGCATGAAAGTGACGCAAAAACGGTATTTAACGTCGATTTGAACGGGCCGCTAAGATATTTTCAATCTACCTGGATTTGTCCGTGTATTTAGTTTACTTTACTATATTTTATAACTATATTTTATCGTTTTACTTTGTTTTATTTCCTTGTTGTCTCTATTTTTTCTTCACTCTATTTTATTTTTTCAAGCACTTCATTTTTTTTTCTTTAATTATTTACTTCTCATTCCTTGACTTTGTTTTATATTTACTGTGATTTCTTTTAATACTTCATCATAATTTTTGGAATTCACTTTACTCTTAAAATTCATTCTATTCTTTAACATCATTTAGTTGTTTCCCTTATTTTATTTTTTTCTTCATCTCCTTGCTCCCTCTAATTATTTACTTCAATTTAGTCTTTGACTTCATTTTATCATATATTTGATTTACTTTATTTTATTTCTTTTCTATTGTCTCTGTTATACCATAATTTCGACTATTCTATTATTTCCACTATTCTATTATTTTTTCTATTTTTTTCTCTTTGAATTTTTCATTTTCATTCTGAGAGTGGTAGGCTTAAAGGGGAGAAGAGACAGTATATAGCGCTAGTGCGAGAGAGAGAAGGTGCGCGTGACTCCGGGCCGTACTGCAGCTCCGGTGCGGAGTGCTTTGACTACACATGCAGCCCGTCTCAGCACCTACGCGCTGAACCGCACTCCCGTGTTCATTCTCACTCCGGATTTTCCGTCGGACGGAATCAATGATTTTTAACAGTGTATGGCGTCTATCGAATCAGTGGGAATCAAAGGGCAGATCAATCGATAAATCGCAAAGCACGTCACACCACTCGCCGTTGCCCAGGTTTTCCTTGTTTCGATCCAACGCGCCGTTCTGTGTTCCGTATGAAGGATTCTCGCTTTTGAAAGCTCCAGTGTAATCAGGAACGACATGAGATATTTTATCCTCCACCAGGGTTACCGCAGTCAGAGAAACCCGGGAAATGTCAGGGAATTTTAAAAAGTCGAGGAAAACCAGGAAAAGTCAGGGAAAATTACGAAAATGTCAAGGAAAATTTGTTAAATCACCTTCATTTGCTTTCTAAAATGAGTTTGAGGTTTCGAAAAGGAAATTTTCCCTGAAAACTATTTTTAATTATGCCTTCTTAACCATCCCTCACATCTGCAATTGTCAGGGAATTTCGCCAGAATGTGCCAGGGAAATTAGGGAAATGTCAGGGAATTTCATTTTCTAAATTCCGTGGCAACCCTGATCATCATCGCGCAAGTGAAACATTTCCTTTTAGATGGTGGATGGATGTGGATCAGTAGTTGATCTTCCATACATCCCTTTCGTCGTCATAATCATAAATTAACACCTATGTGCTTAGCAGGAAGCATAGACCCGGTCTATGTTTTATGTGAACAATAGAATCATCGATGAATCGTTTTGATGATCTCGTATGAGTACAGGAAGTCCACTATGGCATAAGGTCTAACACTGATTTTTTATAAGGGGCAGTTTAGAAGAACTGATGAAGTGTGGACATTCCGCAAGAAGTTCCGGAATATTTCCGCCATACCAAGCGCGTTGTTTAATCAAGTCTTGAAAGCAGAGCCGGACTTGAGGGACGGCCATCGGAACCAACGTTTTTTGTGTTGGTGGTCCAAGATGTTTTCCCAACACTGTTGATGTTGTGGAAAAGCAGTGTAAAAGGACTGATTTTTGGGGAGCCTGTCCCAGAATGCACCATGGAGCCATAAGACTAGTGTAACTCAGCGTTTTTCATTTGGATTTCATTTTTTCATTTTATTTGTCAGATGTCCGAAACGACTGTATTTATATAGCGTGTTCGGAGGGGGAAGTTGCACCTTCATTAGGTTTTTTTTTTGTGTTGGTGGTTCAAGATGTTTCCCAACACTGTTGATGTTGTGAAAAAGTAGTGTGAATGGACTGATTTTTGGGTAGCCTGTCCTTGAAGGCACCATCTAGCCATAATTATAACTCAGCGCTTTCATTAGGATTTGACTTACTCGGTTCCGTTTTTCTCGTGGACCATGCCGTCGGCACCCATGTTGAAGCAACCGAAGGAGTAGGAGGTTTGCACCTCACCGAAAACGGACGGCTCCAAGTGGACGCAGCCCCTCAGGCCCTGGTTCGTCGGTGACACGTCGCTGAACCTGGCGCAAATTTGAACTAGATCCGCGAGGAGATCCATGCATGCTGGCTCTGGATTACTGCCTGAAATCAAGAATTTAACATTTTTAACTCATTTTCGTGACTTTCATCGCCGAAGCTAACGGTGTACCGCATCCTCCGATGAAACCGGTATTTAATCGAGTATTCTCACGACGGAGCCACAAGCTCATTCAAGTAAAATTTTCACCCAAAGAAATTATGCCGTTTAGCGCCCGTGTACCTGTGTACAGGGTGTCGACTGTACGAAAAAAGTACGGGTACACTGGAAAAGCACGGATCTCGGAAGGTCGGCACGGCAGTACGGAAAAAGTACGGATTTTCCGTGAAAATTTATGGAATTTCGAGCTTTTCGTGGTAAACTCTTTGTTGTAGCCTTGGGGGTATACGACTTCCTGTCAACATCTCTTCATTAAGTTCCCGGGTTGATTCCTCCTCTATTTCAGTCGATTCCTTTGTCATTCCATCATTTCGCTCATCCAATCGAATACGGTTAAAAATGCGGATGAGGCAAGGAAAAGGCAAGACTAACGTAATGATTCCTGAGAATCGCCAAGAAAAAGGATTATCGGGAAAGTAAGGAAAAAGCAAGGAGAAGGTACTGTAAAAGTAAGGAATTTGAGTGACAGGGTACCAGTAGACACCCTGCTGATTTTCGAGCCTTCCATCTCCGAGGGTAACGGTGTATCGGCCATTTTTCGATGAAACCGGTATTCAATCGAGTATTCTCGTGATTATTCCACAAGCTCATTCAATTCAAATTTTCACCCTAAGGAATAATGCTGTTTGGCGCACTTGTGCTTACGGCCGAAACACATCTTTACATTCTTGCAGTACACATCTTCGAGGGTGAATGGTGCATGAACAAACGCTTTTCATACTTGGAAATTTAAAAATGCTGAAATACAATGGAAGCCCGGTTTTCGTTTAGTATTTGCCTGCATGATCGAGATTGTACTGCAGTCAAATAATCTTTAAGCCTGCAGTAAAATTTTGTCGCTACGTCATTTTGGTCGAAATTGGAGCAAAAATTTCAAATTTTCGAATTTCGTCAAATGGAGGTACTGACAAAGAACTGAATTTTTCTGGTGTGGTATTGAATTTCTTGGGAATGCACTGGAAAAGTACTGTACATTGAAAGAAAAAGGTGCTTGGCTCAAGCATGATTCTTGAATTTGCCGCCTAGAATTATTATACCATGATTGAAGTTGAATTTTTCTTGATTCAAGAAAATTAATGCTTGGGTTAAGTAAAATAGTAGTTTATGTTATAAGCAGGAAAATTCTTGATGTAGAAAAAATACGTCTTGGCGGCAAATTTAATATTCTTGTTTTTTCAGCGCAAAAGCACTGATTTTTAGACAGCGTTTTAAAGTAGACACCCTACTCCAGCAAGGAAGGAAATCAGTATACGTTTCGTTCCTTATTCGAGAAATTCTGGCGACATTGAAAGATGTTAAATACTGTCCTCTGAAGGCCGAGCCAACTCTCGTATGTATATGTAATTACCGAGAGATGTTTTGAATATCATTTTCTTTACCCAAATGTTCTGGAAAGTGCAATTAATTGTACAGAGAGTTTTTCTTTAATATGCACGACATTCTAGCAGCTACTGTATCGAAATTGAATCTCGGACGCACCTTTCACTTTTTCGCTATGAAGCAAGCTCCCTCCGTAGGAGACGTTCACCATCATGCCCTCTTGCTGTGACAGGTACTTGAGATTCACACATCCTGAAACATAATGAAGAACGTTAACTCTGTGTATTACTTGAAGTTACTTTCCATGTAGATTCGCGTCTTAGTGTGGTTGCGCACTTGTTTGAAAAGCATGCCAGTTGGAAATATAATGTCGATGCTGTACGACAACTCGAAACTGCGAGCAGCGCAAAGCGGGTTTGCGCAGCTTATTGTAACTATGGCATCGAAGCGAACCTGAAATGGGAAATGCTGTTTTAACAACATATTGATTTAAGGGCCGTGTCTGACAGACGTAACGCTCTAGGGGGAGGGGGAGAAGAAAAGCGTTACGTTATCTTGTTTTTAGTCCAGGCAAACAAGTCTCAAAAGGATCATTAGCCTATTTAAGTCCTGGGTGGCAATTTTATCAGTGATTTCTATGCAATTTTCGACGCTGAATCCGAATTTCAACTTGGCGCCAATAAATCAAGACCGGAAAGTTGCTGACTTTGGAAAAAATGGCCTTAAATCGGCATTTTCCCCGATTTTGGTCTCTAACTCACCGAAAATTGACCAAAAATTGCTTCCTTTCGTGGTTTATGCCCATTGTCCCCCTTTTCCTGTCTGACGAACAATTTTTTTAACAAATAAGTGAAGATAATAACATTTTCAATGGACTACACAAACAGATATCAAAATTAAGGAACCTAATACATTTCAGTGTTGCCAAGGTTACCTATAATTTTTTGTGGCGGTTTTGGACCATTATTGTCCTGTTATCCGTGTATTCTTTAGACCTTATCTTGTAAATTTTGGAGAAAGAATCGGAGTCAATGAAAGGGAGCTTATAATAATTATTTGTCCCGATTTGTATCATCAGACCGAGGTGTAAACACTTCAGAGGGTCGTGTGCACTTTAGTAGGCGAGTCGTAGTAGATTGATTGTATCTAAATTCCAAGTCTTCCGAGGTCCACAGCTCCAAAATTGTTTTGCTCCTATCACCTCTCCGGTCCCTGAACCGAATTAGTAAAGCTGCCGAAAGTTGAAGTTAGTCGCCATGTTTAACAGTTGTCACAATGAGCCCGCACTGAAAAAAAAATCTCGGTGTATTTACTAAGAAAAGGGTAAAATTACCAAGAATTCATGGTTCTACTTGATCCCAATTTTTTCTTGTTAAAATTACCATTTATGGAATTGGTATATTTACCTAGAAATCTCAGTAAGATTATTGAACTTTCTCGGTAATTTTACTGGATCTTGGTAAAAACGCCAATATTTTTTATCGACTGTGGTAGAAATACCGAGATAAAATGGCAAAGTTAGCGGGAATTGATTACCGATACAAGTGGTATTCTTACCTGAAAGAACAGTAAAAATACCGGTTTTTAGGTAAGCTTACCAGTCTGTCTTGGCAAAATTACCAATAATTGGTAAAAAACGTGAGATGGTAAAGGCACCAACGGACCGTGGTAAAAACGCCGAGAATTGTTTTTCAGTGCGCAGGGAGGCGTTTGATCTAGAGACGCTAGAGCGTGCAAGTTGCTCGCCGGAACGGGATTTCGGATTTAAAATTGAAGGCAATGCGTCTTCCGCATGTCATTCGGCCGGAGCGAATTTGCTCACTCCGGTCGCGGTTTAATTTTTCCTCGAACTTGTTCATTCTTACGACAGCTTTGGGAAACGAGCAGGCGTTTCTTGGTTCGCGCTAGGCTCGAGCATCGGAGAGTACTCGTCCACCGCTCGTCTGTTGAATGAGCAAACAGGTGCCCGCGCCTGCCGTGCCGTCTCGCCAAATCCGCGCCCTCCTCTTCGAAATCCGTCCAATCTCTCCGATGCCGCACAGTGTATCGAGCCAACCAGAAAGCTCAGACATCAAGCTCGTGACGGAAACTGCTGATTCTCATGTCTACTTCGTCGCATTTTAAATAAAATCGGTTGTCTCCCAGAAGAAAATCTACGAGGAAACCAGTGGAATCATTTTTAAAACCTCCATGCTTCGTGTAAACGGAGTTACAAGCTTGTAAAGTTTCCACATTTTCTCCGACTTTTCCCATCGACTCGATGTACGTTCCGACACTCCTGACAGTGACTAGAGTACCTACATGTATAGCGAGAGTATGGACATACCGCTTCATGGAGGGCTTAGGGCCCAAAAGTGCAGCCTCCCTTCCAACCAACTTTCAACGCCTAAAATTTCACTACCAGTCTGCAGATTCCAATTATAACCAAGATGGTCAAGAATGTTCATAAATGAGCGTTCTTCCGCACTAATGTGTACATTTCTACCAAAACTAAGTCAAATACGTGCGTTATAAACGATGATTCGTAACAATTGTATCAGTAAATCGTTCTGGATAATTCAAATTCATAGGTTAGCCGCATTTCTGGGCCCTAACTTTATTCGCAGAGGCATCGGTGAAGGCCTGATGGATTTTCGGAGTTTCACATCTGTCTATACTCTCGCTATACAGGTACTCTAACAGTGACCAACGGTTGTTGCGCACTTCAGTTTTCATTTCTAAGCCAGGTCGTTGCATTTTAAACAAAATTGGTTGTCTCCCAGAAGAAAATTCACGAGGAAACCAGTGGAATCAACTTTAAAACCTCAATGCTTCGTGTAAACGGTGTAACAAGCTTGTAAAGTTTCCAAATTTCGTCCGACTTTTCCCATTGACTCGATCCACCGTGCGCCGCGCGCCGTTCCGACACTCCTGACAGCGACCAACGGTTGTCGCGCACTTTAGACTTCATTTCTGAGCCAGGTCGGTGGTAACTCAAACGTGGCAGTTCTCGCAGATCGCTGAAGTAGTCGCGCGTGCGGTCATTGTCAATATTCTACGCATCAAAGGTCCGACTTGTTCGACTGAGAGCATTTGCAAAACCTAGATGTTCTGCAAGAGCAAGACCTAAAAGAGAGCACCTGATCAACCATGAAATTGAAATTCTTATCATTGTAACAAAAATGTAATCTGAACTCACCAATAATACCGATGGGTCGATTGGTGAAGGTGTTAATTTTGGGCGCGCGGAGGTATGAGCGAACACTTATGATTATTTAATCCACGAAATTGCTTGTTTGAGATTATATTTGTAGAAAAAGTTGTTACTTCTTGGCGTCAACCAAGAAACATGGTTTAGAGTCACTCAATGCACCGGGGAAAAAAAAAAAACAAAAAAAACACACATTGGATCTAGAGTCCAGACTCTTAAAAATATCGACAAGAAAAATACTCTTGATTCAATCGGATTTTTTGCTTAGATCAAGAACCAAGCCTCTTAATTTGAGCAGATTGCCTTTTGATTTAAGCAAAAATCTGATTGAATCAAGAGTATTTTTTCTTGTCAGTGTTTTCCAGAGTCTGGACTCCAGATCCAATGTGTTTTTTTTTCCAGTGTGTCCTCTGTCAACTGGCCAGTAGAGCTTCCATGCATATTATAAATGTTTAAGAAGCATTTTGGATGCAAGTTACCGACGAATATTTCGGAGCATGTAATCAAATTTCAGCAAACTCAAAGAAAACGTAGCTTTTTTGATCCAACCGACACATTTCAAAATTCTCGTAATCGATGTTACTCTACGTTACTTTTCTTTATGTCGAAGCAACGGAAAGGACTCGGTTGCTCAACATTTTGAGTTAAATCGACCCAGACCGTAGGTCGCTCTGGAACAAAGGAGATGATGAAAGTGCCCTGCGGAACTCATGAACTTTTGTTTTCCTCACCGTCACGTGGAAGCTACAAGCAAATATTCGCGATCGAATAACATCACCGTCGAATGATCGTGCATTTGTTTTTAATGATATTCGACTTCTTCGTTGGTCTCACCGGGGACTGTTGAAATGCATCAATTTGAAATTTCGTATCCACGGGATTTGAATTCGATTTTTGAATTGATGCAATCGATGCCAGAAACTCCATCCTTCGCCAGAGATTTTGTTTCGCCATTTCTTTCTGTTTTTGTGTTTTGTCAATTCAAGTCTTCTGTTTTTGCAATCGGCTGTGTTTTAGTGTATCGTATTCTCTTCTTAATTTCATTTTAAAAAAATATGACCTCTGATTGGCTCCTGCTTTCGCCGATCGTCGGCATCTCTCAGCACTGATCAATTCGTTTTTATGAATGATTTTCGATCGCGAAAATTCGCATTGGGACGAACGAGGGGTTGGCGCTTCGGATCACCACCGATTCGTTTCAGGTCCGATCCTGATGGCTGGCACGTAATTTTTACGAGATCGCTGATTTTTAACACGAAGATTTGGTAGTTTTGACATAGAGATTTTGTCGGTTTGGTATAGGGTAAACTAACACCAAAAAATTTAATCATCAGCTTGTGTTACTCCGTGTTTTACTTCCCGTATTAACACACAATTTTGGTTATTTTCCTTATTGTTCACACTCGGAGCTTGCAGTTGGCAACTTTAGCGGGCTGATTACTTGTTGACTTACTTTTTTGTTATGGTCCGATCCTTCGTTTATATTTTTCTTGTGTTCACACTCTGGCCATTTCGAGTGTTCAATAACACTAAGTCGTAAAATTTTTTCGCGATTATTCCGCACGTCAAATATTGAAACGATAAACTGTATAGTTTGCCAAAAACTTAAATAGGTATTGTCACGGATTTACCGGTATCCTTGTTATCACGTTGTTTTTAGGGTCGACTGATTGGTTTATCACACTATGCGCATCGTCCACTTCAGATTATTGAATTTGATGGACAAAGTTGCAGACTAAGAAGACATAGGGCAGGTATATGGAGCGATCCCATTCGTTGAAACGAGTGATTGCGATAGGCGAAGAGGTAGTAATACCCCGAGGCCGAGGCCTTGTCTCCACGGGACGTTTTCATGGAATTTGTCCCAAGTGCGAATCGCAGGAGTGAAACTTCTGGGATTTTTCCCAGTTATCGTCTCCATGGGACGAGGCTCATGCGGTCCTGCTTCGAGTGTGCGCGGAAAGACAAGTCGGTAAAAATCGAGTGTTTAACCGGGATTAAAATAATAATTGAACACGATTGACAATTAGACACATTATTTTAACGAAAGAAACACGAAGAG